GCTTTTGCCACTGAGCTAAATCCCCAGCCCCTTATAATTGTTTTTAATAACACTAGTTTGTAGTCAGCATTAGGAAGTGTTTTGCAAAGAGATATTGTAGAGAAAGTGCTATTTGTTTTAGACATATCAAGTATTATTTATGGAAACATTTCACTATAAGAGCAAGAATAAATGTAGGAATAATTCTAACTGCAGTTCCATGAAATCATACCTTAAAAATGAACTTTAAGGTCACATTTTCCTTAATCAAGTAATAGTTATATAGAAAACATCTGTAATCCATTCCCTTGACAATTTTTTTTTTTTTTGGAAATACGATCTCACTATGTAGTTCAAGTTCGCCCTCGACTCACTGTGTAGCTCAGGCTGGCCTTGAACTCATGGTAATCCTCCTGCCTCAACCTCCCCAGTGCTGGGATTACAGGCTTGCACCACCACACCCGGCCATCCTTGATGATGTCTCATTATCTAGTAAAGAAGATTCCCATACTGAAAACCTTGTCCAACTACAGAATCTCTCTCTCTTCTGGGGAGACAGGGTCTGATTCTATATTCCAGGCTGGCCTTGAACTTATACAACGCAGGCTGGCCTCAACCTGACAGTGGACCCTCTGGGATTGCAAGCATAAACCACCATACCCAGCACTATTTCAGAGCTGAGCTGATTCTTCCTTTAAGTTTTAGAGATAACAAATATGTACACTTCTAATTTAAAATATAACAATTTAAAAATATTTCTACATAAGGAAAATGCAAGTGGTTTAGCACAAAGTAACACAGATAATCAATAAATAGTACCTGTTGCTGTTGACATTTCAAAGATAATAAAACTAGTGCAATAAAGTAGCTTTCTACTATAACTCGTATGATTGAGCTTAGCCAATGAAGACAGAAATAAGTTGTAACACTGAAGTATATATTCTTGTTTTATTTTCAGTTATTATCACTAGTAGAAAAATGGATCTAAATATTGGAGGGGTTAAACCACCCTTGAGTTTCTAAAGTGTGAATTCAGATAGCACATGGACTCACAGGGTCCCAGGAGATATTTGAAAATTTAAGGAAAACAGTAACAATCAGTGTTTAGCCAACAAGTAAACAACTCAAAGTATGTGTATTTCAATATTAGATCACAGTAAACCCTTTTGATAATGACACATCTTTACAGAGCTAGATTTTTGGTGACTGCAAAAATAACCTATGCAAAAATGAATGTGGAAGCTGAGTGTGGTGGCTCACACCTGTAATCTCACTGGGGATGATGAGCCTGGATTGCTGTGAGGTTCCAGGCCAGCCTGAACTACATAGCAAGACTCTCAAAATAACAACAACAAAATCAAACTTGGAAACAATAAAAGAGGCATTGTCGACCTAATCCCAAAGCTAGAAAATGTGAACAGAATCCAAGAAAATGCAGATGCTATTAATAAAGTAATACTCAAATTTTTCCTCAATTTAAGGAATTTAAATACTTATTAAATGGCTTGGGAAATAAATTAGAACTAAGAGAAACTTCTCTTTGCTGAGGAGGCATCATAAAAAACTAAATGAGAAACGAGAATCAGTGAATCAAGAAACTGGGAATGATGGGGTTAGCTGCAGAGCAAACAACATAGAATGTGCACAAATATGTTCCTAGCCAAAAAAATCCATGTTTAAATGCAAGTTTTAATTTTTATATTGAAGAATGCTGACACTTCCCTCACTACAATATGAATTTATATTCATCTTTTTTTTTCTTTTGGTAGACCTATGAAAGTAACTTGTATTATCTGGTGAGACTTAAAAGAATGCCTATTTGTCCAAATCCAGTAGGATCAAGTAACAGGAACCAGATTCACTCTCCTACCTGAAACAACCAAAACACAAAACAGCAATTTCAAGCCACTGAAAGTCAGGCAACTTAAGGGCATTGCTGGCAAAAAGACCAGAAGAAATGTGAGTCTGCAGTAACTGTTCAGCTTAATCATTTGAGAATCTGGGTCTGGCTGTCTCCTGCACTGGTGGACCAAGGTAAGAGCCCACGGAGAATGGAGCAGCTGGGGTTCACTGTTACAAGTTACAAAGGACTTGAGAACTGCAGAAGGCCCACTCAAGTTCTTCACTGAACACCAATCAGTGCATGCTTGGCAGGAAACTGCAGAGCCAGGGAAAAACTGTGCTCTCCCCTCCTGCCCCCAGTCAAGGTCACGAAGTATCTGGTTCTCACATGGAGCCAGACTGAGAACTTCATGATCCACAGTAACTACACTGAAGGGTCTTGCCTCAGTAGGGGAAACAGTTAATCCTAGTCTGAGTATTGCTCCAGTATTGCCTACATAAATGTTAAAAGCAAGACCTAAAGGGACCAAACTATTTCCAAAAGACTTCACTGTGTTCCAGAACAAAGCTGAAGGATTCTTAAAGGAATATAAAAATATCCAACCAATCGTATAAAATTCACACTATCTGAAATCCAACCCAATTAACAGGCATGCAAAGAAGTAGGCAAATTCATATGAAATTAAAATTCAACAGTCAATCTGGAACGGACCCAGATGTTATAATTAGTAAACAAAAACACTGAAGTTTGTGTTGCATGTGTGACTGTGATGCTGTGTGTGGGGGGGGCGGGGTAGGCAGCAGTACAGATATTAACACAAGGACAGTAAGGGAACATTTATAATCCAAAATATTTCAAAAGAGCTTAAGAAAGAAAACTGAAATCATCTTATCACAGACACATATATATGAGGATGAAAAAAGTCAAAAGATTTAGAAAGAAGGGCATTATCTGTATGATAGGAACACAGAACAAAGCTCCACCATAAATTTTCAGTTTTAATGAAGGAATACATTTTTGAGTTATAAAATACTTTGGCCAATGCCAGGCATGGTGGTGCACACCTGTAATCTCAGCACTGGAGAGAAGCGGATGCAGGATCACTGTAAGTTCAAGGCTAGTGTGGTGTCCTTTTCTCTTGTTGCTGAGACAAAATACCGAATGTGCAAAATTAAGGAAGGAAAGGCTTATTTGGCTCACAGTTTGTGGAGGTTTCAGTCCATAATCAGCTGGCTCCAAGGCAGGGTAACGTGGCAGAGGAGCAACAGTTTATGGCAGCAGAACACAGCAAAAGCAGCAACAGCAAAAAGGGAGGAGCAAGAGAGAAGACTTTTTTTCCCTTATGTTGTATGTATGTGATGGCGGCAGAAGACAGCAAAAGCAACAAGAGCAAAAAGGGAGGAGCAAGAGACAAGACTTTCTTTCCCTTATGTTGCAAGTAGGCTCCCCACCCTAGGGTGGGTGTGGCACTCACACCGGAATCCCAGCACCACATAATGAACCAATCATAAACTCTAGATTCAGCTGCCTTCATGACTGCATGAGGCTTCGGGGAGATATCCAGACAAAAACCATAACACCTGGGCTATACACAGTGAGCTCTAGGCCAGCCTTAACTACATACCAAGAGACACTGTCTCCAACAAACAAGCAAAACACAATACCATACCTTCAGCCAATTCAACAAATTAAAAGCAATGAATAAAAAAGCAAAAGGAAGTTACACCTATTGTTATGCTTCAAAATAAAACATTTTTACTTATAGTTTGAAAAACAGCCGGGCGTGGTGGTGCAAAGCCTATAATCCCAGCACTCGGGAGGCTGAGGCAGGAGGATCATTGTGAGTTGGGAGACCAGCCTGGGCTACAAAATGAGCTCAAGGCCAGCCAAACTGCATAGTGAGACCCTGTCTCAAGACCACCCCGCCAAAAAAAAAAAAAAAAAAAAATGCTTCCAAGGAAGGTGAAAGGTGAAACTGATGAGATCATGTACTTTCACTCTTAAGTAACTTTAAAAGTACCTAGTTCTTACTGTAACAGAGAAAAATGTCAGTGAAGACTAAAAACAAATAATTACATGTATAAATAGTAAATTCAAAGCTTTAAGGTTGACAGAAATGAGAGGATTCAAGGAAATGGAAATAAAATAGCTTTATTTATACAGAAAATTAAAGTTTAATAGCATATTAAGGAATTTTACCATGCCATTCACACCTGATCAAAGAGCAAACACACACTACTAATAATAGTTTATTATGGTTTGTATTCTTGATAAACATATTGTAAAAAAATACATTTCAAATAACTTACTCTCAGGTGATAAATTTAAAAATGAAAATGATAATTATCATAACACCAGCTAAGCTTTTATTAAATACTTACTGCTCGTCTGTCAACTGTGATGCTAAACAAAGTAAAAA